GTAGCACCATATTACAACTCGTTAAAGAGACTTGTCTAAATAACGATAATTGAAGGTTAAATGGATAGCTGAAGAGTTGTTGACGAGTTGTAATATGGTTCTACGAATGGCGAGACTCACTGACGATGCCGGCGAAATGTCTGGGAATGTACCACGTCCACGATCCTACTTTGGAAATGATGATGCATACAATGGACTCCGGACTAGGTGCGTTCCTCTAGGTCTTCCTACCAACATGACCGAGTTGCGAAAACAAGGTCAAACAACTTCTATACAACGAAAGGAGACTGCGACCACACAAAAGGCTGTTGTGAAAGCAAGGTCAAACAACTTCTATACAACGAAAGGAGACTGCGACCACACAAAAGGCCACACCATCTTGACCTTCATACCTTCGATTAAATAATGTAACCAAAGTGTTATAGTCCAGGCCCAGGCAGAAATGCGCTATCTTATCAGAAAGCAGGATCCCTTTATTGCGCTTAAATTTTTAAACTTTAGCGTAAGCAATATAAACACATTTTGAATAAATTTTGTTTGCTAGCACGATAAAACAATGCCTTAATAATAAAAAGGCCTAAAATAAAAGATAAAGGAATAAAAGTGACTTAAATTTCTATTTAGCAGATTTTGATACTTAATGGAAGATATCAAATATGAAATTCAGTTCACTTGAGGTCGCATGTGGTGAAGGACTGATAAGTGAATTTTTTCACAATAATACGAGCGGGGCTCGCGATGCCAATTAAATTTACTAAGCCTTGCCTTGCCGAGGGCAAAGTACAGCCACTTTATGCACACGACCAAGTTCAGAATCCTGTTTGGAGTGCTGACGAGACCTGGGCGAGGTCAAAACAATAACTATTAGCAGTTCACACTGGAAAAGAAAATCGCCTTGAAGACAAGGTTTTGTGAAATTCATTTACCTCGCAAGGCCTAATCATATAATTGTGGTAAAATTTAGCCATGAGTCCGTCATCATTTTATGCGACCCAAGGTGACTACAGTTCTTAGAAAAGTGGTGTATCAGTCCTTTAACAACATATAGTGCTAAAAAATATATGCTCAACCCAAGAGTTTACTATGACAGACGCATAGAGAGATCAGACGGTAGAGTTGAAGGCAACTAGGATGGACCGAGAACATCCATTTCTGCCAGATCGGATACCTAAGTAATGTTAGGAGTTATTAGGGACGATTAAGAAAGTGATATCATTTAATTGAGAGTAATATATTTATGCAAGTTCGTACAGCAAATAATTTTGCCATATAATTCAAGATAGTGATTCAAGTGCATGTAAGCAAGGAGCTGGCAGAAAGCTGGTCAAGGGATAGACTAATTGTTTATTGATGAGTTTTGCCTTGCTACTAAAACAGGAAAGGCTCAAGGACGATTTTAATGAAATGCCTAGGAAAGTACCAAGTCCACGGTTCGACGTGGGAATTCTCATGAACACTATGACAGAGTACCCTGAACAAGCAACGTTAATCGAGGTCGTCCTTAAAGCATAAGCAAGCCGTAAAAATAAGGTCAAATACAATTTATGTAGGGAAATGAGATTGCTACCAAAATGGAGGCTACATCATCTTGATTCTCATATCTGAAATCAAAGTAAAGCCTAGTCAGTAGATCTCTTATAAACTTTACAGAAAAGTTCACCCCAAAAAAATTAACCAAGTCTAAATTACGTACATTCCGTCCAAAGCAGATGATAAGACCGATTATTAAGGAGAAAAAGTAACCTTATATGCCTCCCAAGCTTCTGCTTTGCATTTCATTAGCTCTGCCTCCGCCTTGGCCATCGCGGATATTGCCTCAGCCTCAGCCAAGCCTCTGGAACGCACCACCTCGGCTTCAGCTTCAGCCTCAGCTACTCGACGTTTTCGATCTGCTTCGGCCAACTGCTCCAGCCGATAGCGTTCTGCTTCGGCCGGCTTACGTATAGTCGCTTCTAGCTGGCGCTGACGGCGTGCTATTTCTAACTCTTCAACTTGGATCTGCTGTGTCCGTTCTACAAGGCTAATCTGCATTTCTTCCTCCTTTATCCGCTGCCGCGTTTTTGCCACCTTTAGCCCACAATGTGAAAGCCCATCAACGTATGGTATACAAAGAGATTGGTTGATGTAAGTGCCCACATAGGGTTTAGAAGATATAAAAACAATTAGTAAGAAGCCGAAGGCTCAGACAGTTAAGAAATAATACAATGATTATATATATAGATCAATGGTCAAATGAC